TAAAACTCCTGGGAATGAAATAGTCATAGCAGTGAGGCCGTATCTGAACAGTGATGAGTCAGAACTTTGAAACTAGTAAAATGTCAAAGCCCTGTGGGAATCTATGTCTCCCGATGTGGCCACAATGATGGAAAAATGTAGTAGGCAATTTGTCAAAGTGCACATATAGAGGATAGTTGCCTCCTCACAAGTACAATTTAAACGTGCCAACCCATCCAGAGAAGCTATAAGAAAGACATTAATTGGGAAATAAGGGTAAATACTCTTACTTCAACTTCTGTGACCAGTTTCTCATTAATGGTGGCAGCTAAGAACGTGAAGAGACAGACAGCTATTGAAAGCCTTGATCAGGAACTGGCAGTTTCCATCTCGAGGATAAAGTCTACTTTGAAATAAGTGTGGTCACAGAAGCAACCTTATCATTAAAAATGTAGGTTGCTCAAGCAATGGCCATGGTTCATCCGCATGGCTGACACTGACGGAGGATTTACAAACTGCGGTACAGGGTTTCAGGGTAGATCCTGAGGGAATCTGACTGACCTTGTCAGAAACAAAAGCTACATTTCTTGTTATATAGGTCTTGCTTTAGCTTGGTCTTACCCATCCAGCAGAAAAATATAAAAATGGGGTATAAAAAGTAAAGCCATATTAATATGCTGAGCTGTAAAAGGCTCAAGTCAACAACTTCCGACATTGCCAGTCCTACGGATAATCCACTACTATTATGGACTACTGGACTATATTGGAATATTTTGCTGAATTCATGCACCTACAATAGTTTAATGGCAATTGAATACCCATCTCTGACAAAACTAAACAAAAATAGGGGATACAAATGAAGGCCCATTTTGTATCTGTATATACAAAATAGGATAGATATGTAGCTACTTTCTCTTAATTCAATGAGAAGAAAAATTTGTACTAATAGTGTTTGGACAGAATATCATGTCTGCATCTTGTACTATGAATAACCACTACAAAGACAACAATATGCAATGTATTAATTATTGAAACTGTTCTACTAGTCGGTTTTGAAACTGTCTCATTGCTATTTGTTTCTCAATAAAATTAATAAAAAAGTTAATAAATCTGGAAATCAAAGATAAAAAAAGTGTAGGTTGAAAGGAGGGTAGCGAAATGGGAAAAAAATCAAGGTACAGGTACAAATTCTCTATGATGATTGTGATCATTATATATATCTGAAATGTACCAATAAAATCTGATTGAAGAAAAATAAAAATAAAATGAAAAAATAAACTATCTTCTTACCTCTGAATAATATTTTCCAGCTTTTGAAGGTGAAACTAGCCCATTCTTGTAATTAAAATTATTGAGTCAAGGGTACACATACTTAAATTTTTAATAGCTCCTGCTAAATTGCTTCCTGAAACAGATTGATTCACATATCCATCCACTTGGTGAGAGACTGTTTCCTCACATCACTGCCTACTGTCTCTTTAATTTGTGCCTTCCTGATGGGAGGACACTGAATCTCATTTACTGCTTTGATTTGCATAAAGCTAATCACTAGTGTGATTATTATAATTATTTAAATTTATTAAGCATTTATGTTCCTATCCAGTAAAATGCTTTTCATTTCCCCTGCTTGTTTCTGTCGGGTTATTTGCATTTTCCTATGAATTAGTAGGAATTTTCCCCAAAACATTGGATATTGAATATCTTTTGTTAGATGTGTTTCAAATAATTTCTCCTAGCTTGTGTTTTTAGTATTTCATAGTGTGTTTTTCCTAAGCTTTATTCAAGATTTTGAAATACCGATGGCACTAAATTTTTATCTTTTCTGTCATGCGTTTTACTTCTTGCATGATGTGGACTACTAGGCAAAGGCTATGAGTTCTGTCTTTTAAGTTTTGGTCCAGGCATTTCAAATTATGATCATCTAACCATGGTTCTTTCTTGTATGTTGCTTTATGGGCTAAGACTTTTTATTGTTTTAGCAATAAAACAATATTGGCTGTTGCTGTCCCGCATAATTGTACACTCACGTGTTTTAAATTAAGATAATTATATCTTTATGGTGGTTCTATGTAACTTGATTCCTTTGTCTTAATTCTCTTAATGATTCTTTTTACTTTGGTCATTTTGTTGAGGAGCTTTGGGGTTATTTTTGTTGATTTCACCATCATTTTCTAATGAAGCAGATCAAGATGTTAAGTAGCATGCTGGTCTTATCTTAAAGCCTGAGATTTCACAGAGGTCAACTTCAGCTCACGGTGATGGGTCAGTTCGCAGAGAACAAGTCTTAGACCTGGCTTGGGGAGGAAGAGGTCTTTGAAGATGGCTAAGCACATCGTGCCACCTCCACTGGTGAGGTCCATGGTGCGGATGCTGCCCCAGGAATTTTCTTGACATTTCCTCAAGTTTTCTAGAGTGTAAATAGCCCTGTGTTGGTCTGTGTGGTTCATGGTACCCAGGTCTTTTCCAGGGGCATCTTACAATTTCTGTTGTAGCATTGGTCCTCTTTGGAGCCCAAAGGATTGTGAGCATCCATCAGGCAGCCCTGGATTTGTATTGGGGAGTTACAGATTCCAAGTCTCATTCTATACTAATTTGATTCTTTGTAGTTGAAACATTTGAAGGCTGTAGAACCTTTATTGCAGGATACCTCTGTATTATTCGATTGTCAGGGCAGCTATGTGAATAATGTACTATACATTGGGCATCTATAGCAAATTCTAGAGATTCTCATGATGGCAAATGATCAAGCGCTTGATTTGGTTTGACACTTCCTCAACTTAATAAGACTGTGAGCATGCTAAATGAGTAAGTGAGCAGGATTCATTACCAAACAAATGTACTTGTGATAGTATCTCACAGCCTGAATACTAGAATCTGGACTAAGTGTTCTCTTGAAATCGTATCTATGCGTAAGCAATTTGGCTGGGTGAGTAATGTTAGAATTTAATTCATGCTTAATGATGTACATCACTGTCATTGCTTTACCTGATGATAAAACACAACAGAAATGATCTAGAAACTTGATTAGGTTAACATAGAAAAACTCTGTCATTACATTTTTTGCTATAATCAATACTGATAGTTTTCTAAAGCAAATGTGAAAGCCATGGGCCATTGTCAGCAGATAGGCTTTCTGCTCTTCAGTCATCGACCACAATGATGCCATTCTCACCTCTTATCACTTTCGCTCCTTGCTATGGTTTAGATATAGTTTGACTGTGTCTCCCACAGGTTCATGTGTTAGAAACTTTCCTCAGTTGGTGATGCTGGGATATGCCAGGACTGTCTAACAGCCTCACGGGAGGTAGTGTTTGGAGGTCTGAGCATTAATTTGAATCTCATACTTTCTCCTAAGGACAGGTAAATCACAAGCTAAAAGTGATAGGACTAGGACCTCAACAGCAAAGTACCATGCTCTTCTGAGGCCAGAGGAGGCAGGGATGGAAGATAGGAGAGCTTTGGCAAGGACACTCGCAGATCCTTATTCCTTAGCCTGCCTATAGCGGGCTAGGTTTCCTCTGCCAGGAGATGGAATCCCTGATGTGTGGGTACCTTGCATTTTCAGTCTTAACCCCAGAGTAACATGGCAGGAGGGCTGAGGTCTGGGGAAGTCCCCTAGTTTCCCCATTTTTGAGAAACCCATGATCTGTTATCTCTATTTCCTTGTGGTTGACCTTGTAGGCTTAGCCCAGCCCTTATTTCTCAGGGATCCTGGACAAGTCATACTCATTTGAGATTTCTTCATGAGAAACTCCTTGAATATCTTGGCAGGAATAACTGGAATTTTTAAAATGTTGAACATTGATCATACCCTGTTCAGGAAACTAGAACCTCCCTCTGCTCATCTAGATAAATGACCCAGGTTCTGTCAGAGCCCATTATTGCTCTCAGAAGCTGAAGGAGCTGTGACTGGGTGCAGTGGACTTTCAATTAGGATCCTTTCTTGCCAGGTAAAGCCCGTAGCTGCAAGATCCCTCTGACCCTGGAGTCTTCTGTGCTTTGGGAATGAGCCGAAAGGTAGAGCCATGGTAGGATGAATGTGGACTTTTTCCTGTGTGGGACTTGTTGTCTCTCATGGTGGAGGGGCTGGGATTTGGAAGAACCTGCCTGGTATGGACACTTCCTTTCCTCTGGATAGAAACAGATACAGTGAAGGGAAAAAGCCTTTGGCAGGAGGATATACTGGCACCAGGGGCCTGGAATTGTTAAGGTCAAATGTCATGCTTGGCAATGGGACTTCTAGGGAGATAACATTCTTGGCTGGATCTCTGGGTGGGGAATAATTCTCATCATTCTCCCATCACTGAGACTTCTGTGGAGTTTTATCCTAGGTGGTGGCTTCTGGCTAAAGATTTGTGTTAAGTCAGGCATGTTAGCTCCCTGTCTCAAATAAGAAGTCGAGGAACCAGTGTCCTAGGAAAGTCTTAGAAATGTCACTTGAGGCTCATCTCTTCTTTGTTCCCACAGGTGTTAAGAGAAATCCACTATGGGAATCTCTAATGATACTGCCATAGGAGGTAATGTTGGGATAGGGCTCTGGTGGGCCCAGTCACTGGCAGTCATGTCTGTGTCCTTGGGGTGCCTTAGCATTCTCTGCCCCTCCCTGTGCATGGCTCTAAGTGCATGGTGCTGTTCACTGCCACTGTACCATGGGATTCCAGAAGGAGGGGACCATTGCTCATTTACTGTTCCAGCTCCATTTCCTGGGATTTTTCCAAGCACAGAGCAGGTCCAAAAGAGAACAGCTGGGCTTTGACACACAGATGCTGTGGGACCACTCGTTTTCCTGTTCATTAACCATCCTTGATGGTTTGCTGTCTTATATCATTTATTGACCTTGGTAGCCTTTGCCTCTCCTCAGCAGAGCCAATAGCTTTACTGGAAAGAAAGGCTGGGCTGAAGGGTTCTGGGGTATAAACTTCCAGTCTTCCATATGGAAGTTCCAAGATTAGATGAACTTTCTCTTGAATGAAGCAACCTTGGCCTTCATAATTTTTCATTATTTGTTTCTCTTCAAACAGCAAGAGATACCCCACAACTTGGAAAGATCTCTGATTTGGATCAGCAGGTGTGGATCTTTCAGGGTCAGGCCATTGTGACAGTTCCACGGAGTAATAGTGTGGCATCAGGTGAGTGCTCCTGCTGTGGGTGTTCCACACCTCACATTGGTAATGGCCTTTTGTTAAAGCATGAGTACAAATGCTTGGTTGACCTTCTAGTAATGCATATTCCAGAATAGCTAGAAGAGCAGGTTTTTGCTTTCACCTCAAAGAAATGATGTGTATGAGGTAATACTTTAAGTTGGTCATTATTGTATTGTATAGAAATACATAAAATCATCACATTGCACCGCATACAAATATACAATTATACTGTGTCCCAAAACCCATAGATTTCAATGGGTTATACCTAGAGGGGACCTAATTTTAGCTTGTTGGGAGGAGAAGTCACTGGAAAGGTTAGTTCTTTTTTTATTTTTTAATGTATTTGGTACAGGGTCTCACTACTCAGCTCAGACTTGTAGTGATACTCCTGCTGTCAGCTTCCCCAGTACTGGGATTACAGGAGTGCACCACCATGCCCAGTTTTAGTGGCTGGCTCAGCATGCCCTGTGCTTGCCTAACCAGGCACTTAGTTTACAGAGTTATCTTACAAGCCCTTTGGAAAAGTTTTATTTTTTATTTTTTGGAAAAGTTTTAAACCAGGGTAAATAACAATATATGGTAGAGTAGCCTCCTCGGAATTAGAAGATTTGCATTCTGAGCCGAAACGGGTGACCCATCTTGTAGTAGGGGATTAGCTTGTTCCATTTGACCTCAACATATCCTATGATGAAATGTGTGAATAACACAGGAAGACAAATTTCACAATCACAATAGGCAGAACTTGCTAATGTACAGAGCTCTCCATGGATCAGAGATGCTGCTGGGAGTAGGAGCCTCCCCTTTTCCAGGTGTTCAAGCACAGATGTGAAAATATGGGGGACAGAACCTGCCATTTGCTTAACTTTCTTTACTCCATTTACTAAGGCAGTTATTGTCCATAAGCGATGGATGGATGGATGGATGGATGGATGGATGGATGGATGGACATGGTTGTTGGTCATTTGGTGGGTCTGGGCCAGAAAAAGTTGTACTCTTTTGTGTCCTCCAGCCCCACCTGGTAGATACTCCTTTGGAAAATTAGAAGGAGAACAGTTCCATTCTCCTGACTTCAGAAGGAAACTGACATGTTTTTCTGTGTTTATCACTCTAGCCACTGTCACTGTCATTACATGCAAGTATCCGGAGTCCCTTGAGAAAGACAAAGGAACTCCCATTTACCTGGGAATCCAGAGCCCAGCCATGAGTCTGTGTTGTGAGGACACTGGAGGACAACCCACGCTGCTGCTCAAGGTCAGTGAGGAAGAAAAATTATATATATATATATATATATATATATATATATATATTTGTATTTTAGTACAGGGTCTCACTATATAGACCAGACTTGTAGTGATCCAAGAGCTGGGATTACAGGCATGCACCACCATGCCCAGTCTTGGTCTCCACCTCAGCATGCCCCGGGGGTGAGGCCAGTACAGTAGGTCCGGGGATTGAACCCCCAGCCACTGCATCTGCCTAAGCAGGCACTTTAATCTGCTGAGCTATTTGGTGGGTCCAGAAAAATCATATTTTAAAAAGCCTATTTTCCTTTACAAAAATTTTATTTGGTACAAGGTTGAACATTATAATGGAAAAAGAAATATCCTTTTCCTAAGCATATATTTTTTTTCTTAGATCCTATTGAGTAACATGTATCCAAGAGACTTTCATTTATCCTGCCATTCACTGGCTGAGGACACCCATCTTCCTTACATCTTGAGATGCTCTCAGTCACAGTTTCCTCAATACGTTCTCTACATAATTCTGCCATGTCTTTCCTTTTGGAATTCCCACTCATTAGTCACGTAAATCCTAGATTTCTCTTGAGTATCTCTCTCATCGAACTTGCCACACTTTTTCCCTTTCATTTTTTAGTTTGTGTTGCATTCTAGAAAAATGTATTTGTTCACTGTCATATTTAATAACATTTTCAATTTTGTCTTCTAAACCACCCTATAGCATTTTTTAGAAGTCAACTTTTACTCTTTTGTTTCCTGAACTCTGTGATTTTACATAGGCTCATATGGCTATATAAAGTACAAATATACAATTGTATATATATAACATATATATATTTGTTCTATTCCATTAACTTAACTTTAATTCACTTAATTTAACTTAACTCAGTCCAATTCAGTTCATCACATGGGTGCATATGTAAATGGCTGCAAGCACCGTGCCTGTTCTTCAGATCTATCTGGGTATAGATGGCAGGAAACCCTTAACCTCACTGGGCTTGGATTCTAGTCTAAGGGAGGAAAAAAACAGCAGATAATCTACACACTAAATATATTAGCAGATAAATGCTGTGGTGTGTTAAAGGGTGTGTGTCTCTTTGAAGGGAACAATTGGAGCAAAATAAAGAAGCTGCAGCTCCAGAAGCAGAGGTGGATTCAGGCTACAGTGAGGAGTAGCACAGTAGGCATCACTGTGACAGTGAAATCTTGGCAAAGAGAAGGAGGCAGGGACATTAGTCAGCAGGGTATCTAGTGAGGGCAAGACCCAGGGTCAGAAAGGCAGTTGTGTGGGAGTGAAATGAAGAGGGAGGAGTTCAGAGAGAAAAAGAGAGACCAGGAAGGGCGTGTTGCCTTTGTAAGGACTTGGCCTCGTGATCTCAGAGAAATGATATCAACAAAGAGTGACACGAATGGACTTTGGCCTAAAAAGGATCACACTGGCTTCCAGTCAATCATAGGGTGTGGGGGAAAGGGCAACATTCCTTCAAGGAGGCTTTGGAGTGAGCTAGGTGTGATTCGAAGGGCCAGGTGATAGCAATGGAGGCAGAGAGGGGCAGGTACGATTTTGGAAATATTTTAAGTGCAGGCAACAGGATTTGTTGGCAGAGTGAATGTGATCCATAGGAGGAGAACTGAGAATTACATGCTCTTCTAAGTCAGCTTTCTGCTGTGATTTTGTCCTCAGGACAGACTGGCAATATGTGGGTCACTGAGGACCCGGATGAGGACAATGTCAGTACAGTAGTGAGGGTGAATGTTTGAAGTAATTTGAAGAGAGGAATTTTAAGCAAGAAACCAGACAGTAAACACAAGCAGTTATTGTGCAGAGTTTCCCACAAAGGAGAACTGGTCGTGCTGCTGTGGAATATGCTGCAGAGCAAAGTTTTAGTCAATGATGAATCACATGTAAGATCACGGTCATCTAAGACTCTATCATCTAGTGACATCATAGCTGGCTTAGTTTGTATAAGCATATTCTATAATGTTGACAGAGTGATGAAATTGCCTAGTGACGCTTTTCTCAGAATGCATCCCTGTCATTAAGTGACATGGGACTATGTTTTTAAAATGATAGAAATGAAATCAAATATGCTCACAGGATGACTGAGTAGAGAAACAAAACTGATGGAGAACAAGAGAGTGGGGAGAATGGCGAGAAGAATGAGTGGCCTTAAGCTGGTGGGTGTAGGTGTTCTCCAACCACTCAGCCCAACTCAGAGGAAGGAGGCACCAGGGTAGAGTTGTTTGTGGGAGCTTTCTTTCCTGTGCTCACTTTCTCAGTGAACCAGGAGTATAAAGAAATAAAGCTGGTGGGAGAGGTAGGGAGTTTGAAATGAGAAGGCATTTATTAAACAACCTATTGAGCAGAATGCCAGGGGCTCTTCTGCATGCTGAGAAATACAGTGATGTGTGATTCTGGTGATAATTATATGATGGATAGGTAAACATGCTACATTTAGAGAGTAGTGGTGGAATCTGACAATAATTGCATGTTTGAAAGATAAGTATACTACATTTAGTGATGCAACAATAATATAGAGTATAATAATACAGAAAATAACTGGGAACTGAGGTAGTGATGAGTGAGAGGTTGTATTTGACAGCTCTGGTAAGGATATTCAGTGAAGTTCTCTTTGAGGAAGGGATGTCTGAGATAAGTCCCTGAGTCACAGGGTGGAGCCAAGTTGGGCAGGTGTGCATGGGGCTGGAGTGTCCAGGTGGGCCAAGTACCAGGGTCCTGGGTGGTAGTATGTTAGTCTCCTGCTGCAGCAGAATCAGCATTTAGAGAGTGGTAAGAAGTAAGAGCATAAGGTATGCAAGAGCTGGGGGGTGTAGACCTGAAGGTCTTGTTAGAGAGTTTGGATTTCACAGTAATTACAACAGAATCCTGTGGAAGAAGAAATCCTTCCCTCAGCATGACATGTGGCTGAATTATATAGAGCACTCCTTTCCTCTTGAGTTTTTATATACATGTGATTTATTTACAAAAATTAATTTGACTAAATATACAATATATGCATATACAAACATATATAAACTCATTATCATACATTTATATATATGAAACTTTTTTATTCCTTTATTTACTTTGCTCCTGTGAGTGTGAATTCCTTGCTTTGCTAGACACTTCTATGTCTACTTCATGATGTTTATCTTTCTTATATGTTCTGCAATTGTTCTGAAACACAAACTTCCAACCTAGCTGTCCTTTGCTGCAACAGTTGCCCTTCCAGGGTGATGGCTGTCACTGTCCCTCTTTGGTAAGGGAAGCCCTTGGCTTGCATATGCAAATTTGCATCTTAGTCTTCAGGAATTCCTTCAGCCCATTATGTGGGAAAAGGACAAACTCATTGTTCAAACACAATTGCTTGTTCATTAACTTGTCCTTTCATCCTTCAAATGCCCTCCTGTCCCTTGTTTCCTTTCTTTGACAAACTTTGGATTACAGGGCGGGGTTGGGAAGATGAGATTTTATGTGCTTGTTCTGATGTTCCTTTGTGACACATTTTTCTAGTCCAGCTAATGTAAGTTTTTTGTGCACTTTAGAATGTCCGTTGGATGTGTTCACATAACTTGAGCATCTTGAAAAGTGTACATTTCTCCCATGAGTATCCTCTCTCACATTTCAGGAGGAGAACATTTTGGATCTGTACAACAAACCTGAGCCCGTGAAGCCCTTCCTTTTCTACCACTTCCGTACAGGGACGACCTCTACTTTTGAGTCTGTGGCCTTTCCTGGCTGGTTCATCGCCTCTTCCAACAAAGACAGCCCCATCTTCCTCACTGCAGGCCAGGGAAAATTATACAACACAAACTTCAATTTATATCTAGAAGCTTGACCTCAGCTTGGAGCTGGTAGTTTGGTCCTTACAGTTCCAAAGTCCCAGCGTGTTTCCCTCTGTATCAGTGCCATCTTCACACCAGTGCGGAGAGATGAGAGGGCTGCTGTCACCATTTCATATTCTGGATGAAGAAGCAATGACTTTGTGACCCCTGAAGGCCAGAGTGGACCCCAATAAGGATGGGCAGGTGTGTTGCTCCTCTCTAGCAGAAGCTGTTTAGCCCATAGGACAGCATCCATGTGAAACGGCACCCTGTGCTGTGGTGAATGAAGCCATGGGAGGCCATCTGAATAGCAACACCTCTATTTTCAGGTGATTGGTCTTGTCCATACCTGGATTTTACTCACTCACTGTACCAAATATTATCATGCTTGAGTTGTGTAAAATCCAGGCAGACATTCACTGAAAACATAGTTCCTTTGGACCTTCGGAAGCTGGAACCATATAGGGCTGATTCTACCAGGATAGGGGACTTTTGGAATCTGGGAAGAACTGCTAAGTGTAAAGTGACTGGAGCTACTCTAACTATACCAAAGTGGAACGTCTGTTTGTGGAGGCTGGACCAGAAGGCCCTGCTTGTTAACCCATGAATGATTGGGCAAGGCGCTAGGGATACTGCTTTTTCTCCTCACCCTCTGAGATCAAAGGATTATAATAAAGAATATATGGCAATAAAATACTAACTTTTGTTGCTTAGACTTTTAAGAGAAGCTTTAAGATTCTCGTCAAAATGGTGCATGCTTACGCTGAAAAGCAATCTTTCCCGTCCTCATCCTATTTCTTTCCATGCAGTGGCTTCTCTGTTTTGCCCTTTTTCACTTTTGTTTTCCTCAATATCTGTCTAGGTATGAGGTTTTGATTTCATTTCACAAATTACCAATTTTAGGCAGTATTTCTTCTATTAAATAGATGTCATTTGTATCTCCACTGAATAGAAGTTGTATTGCTCTTTACCTGTTTGCTGAAAATTAATAGTAGGCTCTGAGTCAAGCAAAGTAGTTACCCTTGGAGGTAACCTCCTGGTAGACAGTGTTCCAAGATGGTCTTTAACCTTCTTTCAGGATTTGGATAATTTTAATTAGAGGCATTACCTCTTTCAGCCTTTTTGTTGTGTGTGAGAAGAAATAGAGGTACATGGATTAGACGAGACTTTCTGAGGGTGGCATTAACATTTAGTAGTAGAACCAGACATAACGGCATTCTTGATCTTTGGTCTTTAAATTTCTTTCTGTTGGAGAATGGTGGTGCATGCCTGTAATCCCAACTCTGGGGAAGCTAAAAACAGGAGCATCACTATGAGTCTGAGCTGCATAGTGAGACCCTGGACCAAATACATAAATTAAAAAAAATTGTCATTTGGAAGTTATGAAACACTGTTTGAGAAATCAGTGACATTCTCTTGAGCAAGACAGTCTAGCAAGGAACAGCCACCTCACTTCCATCTCTGGGACTGTCCTTACCTTGTGGAGTGTCAGCAGATGACCCACTGAGGGTGGAATACCACCTCTGGCCAAGCAACCATCAATGTGTAATGACATCATTGCTGAAATGTATTAATTGCATACAGTAATGGCCAAAGTTGAAATACCAGAATCATCTGGGGTGTGTCTAAGATCCCAGGGACTCCACACCTAATAAATTAAATCACTTTTTTTTAGAAATTGCAATTTATTTGGGTTAGGGTTAGGGTGGGGTTTAATAATCAATAGTTTGCCAATGATTCTAGAGAATACTGATTGAGGAACCAAACATAGGAAATAAAAGAACTCGGATTAATTACACTTGAGGTAGTCCATGTATTTCTATACAAATAAGGGGATGTTAGTAAATGTATATACTTCTTGCTTATTTTGTTGATATATCTACTTCTCTAAGGTTTTTCTTCATTGAGTGATTTGTTCCAGCGAATTGAACAAAATGATTTGTATAAAAAGTATTCAATTCTTCAAATTTAATATAATATTCCAAAGTTATAAAGAACTCAAGTTTCCATCAACCAATGAATAGCTACATGAGTCATGTATCTTTGATACTGTTAACCAATACAAAGAAATTAACTACTGATGCTGGAGGTAGACAAGTTAGATAAAAATATAGGCAGGCATATAGGGCTGGGCCCTTGAAGGAGCCAGTGCAGAAGATGAGGAGTTTGCAAATGGAGAGACAGGCATCTCTGCTGTGGGTGAGACCTCAGGACAAAAGAGAAAGCAAATGCACTTACATATTTCCCTAGAGATGGACATCGGGGATTGATATTCTAAATGGGTATCACTCACTCACTTGAAAAAGTCAGGCAGAGTCACTAACCTGATCCCCTAGAGGAAAAATGTACACTTGCTACATAACTCGCTTCCCCATTTGATCCCGATTCAATCAATTTTACCTAAACAATTAAGCTTGCAATCTTATTGGCCGACCATAGTTTTGTCCCACCTCCTGTCCACCTAGTGAGTTTCCGTGTTTCCCACCTTGAACCCACCTCACCTTGTGGATTTGCTCTATAAAAATCACAAGAAAATGTGGGGTCCTTGTCAACCCACTTGGGTTCCCTTCTGTCCCTCTCTCATACAGAAGCTTTCTTTTCCTCAATAAATATGTTCTGCTCTTAACTTCCATTGTTCATGAAATCCATTCTTCAATTTTAGAGAACACAAACTCATGCCAGGTATCTTTCAGGTTGCGAGTTTCTTCCATCTGCATCACTGACAGAGATTAATTAAAAGGAATGTTAAAACATGTTGTTGAGGATACCAGACACAAAGGGTATACATTGTATGAGTTCACTTAGAAGAGGTTCAAGAATGTGCAAAAATAATCCCTAATGAAAGGAATCAAAATAGTGATTGTTTTGAATTTTTTATTTATTTATTTATTTATTTGTTTGTTAGAGAGAGAGAGAGAGAGAGAGAGAGAGAGAGAGTGTGGTGTGTGTGTGTGGCCAGCTCAGCCCACCAGGGGGCGGGGCTGGCTGGCATGTGGTGCTGGGGGATTGAACCGCGGTCCCTGATGCTTTGCTAAGCTTGTTCTAAGTAGGTGCTTTAGACCACTGAGCCATCTCTCCAGCCCAATAGTGATTGTTTTGGAAAGGAAAGAATGAATTTTCTTGAGCTGTCACTTAAATGAGTGACATTCAAAGGATCAAAATCTACAATGGCTTTCCACTCTGTACAGCAGCATAATAAGCCAGACATCATTGAAACAATGCTTTCCACTTTGTGAAGTAAAAAAGATTCTACAGATGCCCACTGTAGAATTCCAAGCTAAGACAAGCTATTAATTACGAGGAGAATAAACCAATTTCAGAGAAGGAAAGATTATTTATTAGAGAAGCGACTGTAGAATGTACTCTGCTCAAATGATAAATTAAGATAAAAAAGACAAAAAATATAGACTCCTCAAAGCAGAGTATCTTCACCAGAGAAAAGCAGTATGAACCTGAAGGATGGAAGGAGGTCCTAGCAGGCAGATAGGCAGGGTGAAGAACTTGGAGGCCCTGAGGGACAGGCAGGCCTAGCAGACAGCTTGCCTTTGTGTTTGAATGAATTGGGAAGATGTTCTAATAGCAGAGAAAAATGGGATAGTAAACCCATCAAAAAATGAGGAAAAATAAATCAAATGTGGTGGAGGACCCCGGAGAGGGCACCCCCAAAAGAAGACCATTTGCTTCTATTATGATTTACCTTTTCCCTACAGATCCAAGTGTACTGATATGCACAGAGCTGGGTAGGAAAATGCTCTACTAGTGAACTTGCTTTATGCAATGTAAATGGGTGTAGCTGAAGTGCTGATGGGCAGCCTCTGAAGCAATGTGATGGCTCAGTGATGACCCACCTACAGCTTCCTACTAAGTATGAGCTAGGCCGAGAGATGACATGCTGTCAGCTGGGATTGAGTTTCGAGAAAGAGGTGGTGAGGTCTCAGGGATTCAAAAGATGGACATCAGAGCTGAAGTAGCTGACCCCAAATACAAGATACTTCCTCAAACTCTGTTATGCAGATTCCTCCAAACACAGAAGCTACCTGTTACTGGAATCCAATACTCTATCTGTAGACCTCCATCAGCATATTGAAGAGGTGCCATGTGTCTCCTACCTAGCCCAGCTCACATCAGTCATGTACTTCCGGCCATTCTCACAGTCGCTTAACCCCAAGCTATTCTCCTCTTCATGAATTAACAAAAGCTGGGTTGGCCCAGGTTGTGGTCTTTGTTCCACTTGGCCTTTTCTCTGAACATACTTATAGATATGTCTTTGTTTCTTTATTCTTGCTGTGGATTTCATTGGAAGTGATGGATTGGAATTTACTTGCCAGAATTCCAGTAACTTTTCTCTAGGAGTATAATTTATTATTTCTTTTCTTTTTTTTTTTTTTTTTTTGCGGAACCGGAGATTGAACTCAGGTCCTTGTGCTTACCAGGGAAGCGCTTATTCCACTGAGCCATCTCCCCGGCCCCTAGGAGTATAATTTATAAACTCCTCTGGACCTTGAAAAGAAATTACCAACACCTATTTACACCTAAGAAAAGAAGAGCCAAGTCCCATCTACAAGTAAATAAAATGCTAAGACTCATTTATAGATAAAAAGAAAATGACCCAGGCTTGTTGAACTTTGGAGAAAAAAAATTAAACTAGGTTTTTGGCCTGAAGCTTCAGGTTTTATTGAAAGTACAATTTTAAAATTAGGAGTTTTTTGGTGTCTCCTCTCCACCTGTCATTATTTTCTGTATCCTACCTCACCCATGCTTCCATGACTTTGATTTGTGTTCTTAAGGGAGGCAGAGGGGCCCGAGGTCCATCTCCTTAGAAGGGCTTCAGCTGAGAAGGGGCATTGAGCTTTCTCAACCAGTAATCAAAAGACTATTGTCCTGACTTACCTAAAGGAGACATAGGGTTATCAAGTTCCATTGTTTGAAGAACTATCATTTGTCAATAATTGGAAAAAAAGGGAAAAAGGCATACAAGATCTTAGCCCAAAACAGCATTCCATCAGGCTGCATA